GGAGAACGGGGTAATGGCTGAGTTCCAAGTAAGTATGGAAAGCGAATTCTGTGACACAACGATACAACCTTACGTTTCACAACGTTGAATTCGATGCCATTAATGAGAGACCATCAGTAAGCTGCGTCGAGAGTTTCCGGTGGGGTTTCATAATTTTCAGGACTTTGTACCATCCTCCATAATTTGACGTCGTCAGCGAATTAATAATACCTTTTCTTCCAGGACATCTCGTATATATATATATATATATATATATATATATATATATATATATATATATNTATATATATTTCACACACATCTGAAACCAGACTGTGCCAAACAAATCATGGTACAATTATCTCCATAAAAAGAAAAACGTTCCATGATTTGCGTGTGGGCTGAATACTGTCAGTTTACCCCGGCCAAAGCTGGTAGGACATCTTGTAGGTCGTTTATGAATGCTGGGAAAATGTCGGGACCAAGTACAGATCCTTGTGGAACTCCACAGACCGCCTCAATCAGTCCCGATAGAGAACAATTAACTCAAACCGATACGGTACGTTATCGAAGAAATTCCTCAATCCAGTCAAGACAGTATTATGATTCTTAATACAGCACAGTGAACATAAACCGTGGTACAAGGAATGAACCTCAGTATGAATCTATAGAAACTGGAGTAAAGTAATCAGAAGATGCTCAGGACAAAAACATTTTGCTGATTCTGTGCCACATCCATGAAAGCGGTTGGTGATCGGAAGAAAGTTCGAGACAATTAGAATGTGACTTAATTAGCAGGTGTGAAAACCTCCACTACGACGGAGTCATAATTCCTATCAATGTATTTTTTTTAGTACACACGTTCTGTGTAATGAACAGCCGACGGAGTGAACAATGGTCACAAAAACCTGCTGTTCAGTGATGGAAACCGGTGACCTAAGCCCCGGGACTTGGAGTGGCGAACCACATAAGGCCGCGCTAGGCCAGGCGTGGTATTGAACCGGACGATACCAAAGCTTCTTACCAACAAAGCTGAGTGGTGGTGGTGACGAGGCTCGAAGCTGGGAACATAGAGTGCAAAGCATACCCGTGGCAACGACTAAGCCACTGCGCCACTAGCACCCAAAAACATGAATCATCGTAAAAGGAATAATTTCCCTGACCTGATGACATACTATAAAATAACGGAGTACGACAACTTTGGAAAGCAAGATGACGGTGTTTGATATATTCGGAGCAGACCTGCATGATATCTGGAGCGTCCCTGGGTCGCGTGAATGAGGTGCTCTTAGGATCACTAAATAAGCGGCCGCGGACGATCGGTGGCAGTACTCGAGGATTCAGTGCACCTTTACTTGGTTAACACTTTTCACCATAAAACAACACATAAATCTGTAGACCGTACTGATTCACGGCTTCTTTGGATGGGAACCGGAGACAAAATCATCTATGAATAGACAAACAAGTGATGCCATGATTTGCAGTAAATGTAACGGGAATCATTCAGATTGCTGCGGGAGAGTAGCAACGTGCAAATGATGTTGGAACACAAACATCAGCAACAAGTAACATATTCCAAAATTATAGAACGCGTAGATGTAAAACAATAAATTACCATTCGCTCAAGGGAATGCACGCGTCAACGCGATTCTATCTCACCTGAATATCAGCCATACCGGGTACAAAAACCAATAGATCGCCTCGTTCTGTGGCAGGATATTTCGCATCGATACGCTGCAGCAAGCGCAAATACGGACTTGGATCAAGGCGATCACCAGCCTCAGCGATCTCAGTCGGGGTAAGCGGAACGTATTTTATTTCGATTGGAAACAGTCGACCAGGGACCTGAATAGAGAAATAAGTTGGTGGGAGACTAAGAGGAGGTGATTGGAGGACACTATATAGGAATGAATGATCCGTGGTTTATCTCGTTAAATTTAATTGTATATGCACAGCTCATTGTTTACTAACCAATATCATAAATTTAGCTCCTAGTTCCCTCAAGAGGGTCCGCTTGAACCGTAATCATTATTCAATCCATTTAGCTACTGGATTTGACAGATAATATTGATCGATTTTATAAGTGCACTACACTACTGGGAGAAGAATCTTCTACAGTTAAGTGATCCATGTTCAGTTCAAATTTTTACAACCATTAACCATGCATTTTCGTGCGCCAGTTTTGGTTGCCCATTTGGATAAAAGAGCGAAATGAAGACTGGAA